ATTTTTTGGTTGCAGCCATCATTGTCGTTTGGCGGGCCCAGGCTGGGGATTCGAACCCGCCACCTTAGGTGTATGTGGCTGGCGCCTTAGCCGCTTGAGCCACAGGCACTGAGCCTGCCCAGCTATTTTTTAGAGACAAGGCTTAGGCTTGTCTCGAACCTGTGAGCTCAGGTAATCCACCTGCCTCAGCCTCCCAGAGTGCTAGGATTATAGGCATGAGCCACCATGCCCAGCCCAAAGAATCTCATCTTAAACAAAAAGGACTGTCTCAAAGACCTCTGGTAAGGCCTTTGTCAGGTACTCTGGGTTCAGGCTTCTGGTGGCATTGAGTAATGTTAAGACCAAAGCACCAGGCTTAGCCAGGATGCTTAGAGTACTAGTTCAGAAATTCATGTGTTCACAAGACTGCTAAGCTAAGATCAAATCGAGTAAGACAAACCACTGAATAATAAAAGACACAAAAATTTTTAGGGCTTTGGGCAGGCGTGGTGGCTCATGCCTGTAATTCTATCACTTTAGGAGGCCAAGGTAGGAGGACTATTTGAGCCCAGGAATTTGAGACCAGCCTGAGCAAGAGCAAGGTGCTGTCTCTAAAAAGAAAAGAAAGAAAAAAACTAGGCAGGTGTGGTGTTGCACACCTGTAGTCCCAGCTGGGTGGGAGGCTGATGTAGGACTGTTAGAGCCCAGGAGTTTGAAGTTGCCTTGGGCTATGACACCACTATAGTCTACTCAGGAGGACAGAGTGAGATTCCTTCTCAAAAATAAATAAATAATAAGATTTTTATTCAGAATATTATTAGCTCTTTAATGTTCTATTAATATTTTCTGTATACAAAATAAAACCCTTTTCCTTTTCTCTCAACCTAAAATTATACTTTCATAAATAAAATTGAAACATTTTTTTCTTCCTCTCTGGTCCCTCCAAAAATCAGTTAACTGAGTATTCTTATTTTCTTACAGGGTTCTCAATCTTGTATGTGAATAAGGAAAGTCATTCTGTCCCTGGAAGGCCCAGGCACTATAGAATATGTCGGGGACCCCGGCTTGGCGCCTGTGGCTCAAGCGGCTAAGGCACCAGCCACATACACCTAAGGTGGCGGGTTC